CTAAACCCCAAACCTCAGACCCCAAACCCCAAATTCTAAACCCTAAACCCCAAACCCTAAACCCTAAACCCCACACCCCAAACCCCAAACCCTAAACCTTAAACCCCAAACCTTAAACCCTGAACCTTAAGAATCTGAATCTGGCAGAGGGGCATGGAGGCATCCTTGAGGCCCGTGGCGGACCACTCCACCCATCCTTCCACGGCAGTTGTTTTTCTTTTTTTTTTTGGTTTTGGAGCTTTAGGGTTTAGGATTCAGGGTTTAAGGGTTTAGGATTCAGGGCTTAGGGGTTTGAGGGTCTAGAAGCTTGAGGAGTTCAGGGTTCAAGGTTTGGGGCTTTTGAAGCTTTAGGGGTTCGGGGTTCAGGATTTGAGAGGTTTAGTGTTGAGGGATTAGGATTTGGATTCCTAGGTTAAGGGCTTGGGGCATAGCGAGGGTTTAGGATACGGGTTTAGGGGTTTGGGATTTTGCGTTGAGGGTTTAGGTTGCATCTGAGGCTAGGGTCCCTGTGCAGAAACGGGGAATCCTAAGTATAAGAACGCAGACGCAGGGATCTCTAGTTTGGAAACGCCATGAACCATCATCCCCATCTTGAATGATACTTCTTGTACCCTAGCCTCAGCCAAACCCCCAGAGAAGGTCAAAACCTCAACTCCGAAAGCCCAAACCCAATACTTCACAAAACCTTGATCTTCACCATCTACGCCCCGAAATCAATGAGATTCTTTCATGTTGAGGGAGGATGCAGGCATGCATGGCTTTCGTGGTCCTGTAAGGGTCGAAACTCTAGGCGTGTAGTATCCTGCAGAAATTGTGGAAGCCACAAGTTACATCCCACATGCCGGGAGCTTCCAACAAAAACTCTAAGCGGAAATAGAGCACATTTTACATCAGACTATTGCAATGGAAAGCTGTGAGGGACGAAATCTGTTCAGGTTGGTGGTCTCGTTTTTGTGTTGCACTGATAACTTGTGTACAATCAATGTTGTCCGTACATATGCGGTTTGGGGTTTGGGGTGTTGAGTTCTAGGGTCTAGGGTCCCCATGCTTTCCTATATGGGAGCTACCTGCACAGACCAGCAACATGGCTAAAACATGAATATACTGGGATTTGGGGTTCAGGCTTTCCATGTGGGAGTCTGCCTCTCCTGACTAAATATAGTGCTGTGCTAAACTACCAAGGGCATCTCTATGTCCACCCGTGGTAATCCCTTAGCAACCCTGATATTGATAGTAGCTCATGCGGGGCCTTGGTCCAAGTCCGAGGAAGGGGTCTCAATTCCCGATGAAGCGGTGTATCCTCCACCTGAAAGGTAGTGTTCATGGAAGACATCCTATACCCTCCAAAGTATCCTACTGCCGAAGAATTCCTTGGACTTAGTGGCATGGGTGGAACCAGATTGTGAGGGAGTAGGAAGAAAGTTATGCAAGATTTCATCAAAAAAACGTAAGCAGTGATAATGATGAGAGACAATGATGAGACGAATGCGAGTTCTGGGAGCAGTAGCAAGCAATGCTGCGGCCCCTGAACCCTAAACCGCGGCTGAGGATTCATTGTGGGTGGTTTGTTGGTCACAGATTTGCGTGAAGAGTTTCATGATGAGACTCGCAAATCCCTACCCCTCAACAAATCGTCCCACCCCCCCACCCCCCCAAACAATAAATTCTCCAACCGTATATCATGCTACTATATTGGAATTTAGTATTAGGTGGGGGGGATTATAATTTGGTTGCGGTGGTTAGGGGCAGGGTAATGCCTACCTCCCATGTTCATACACTCAAACAAGAATGAAAGCATTTTGGTGACCTCAACTAGGCAAGTGCAAACACCTGCAAAAAATCAGAATCCAAGTCACTGTCCGTGTATCGGACCGCCTGTGGCAAGCGAAACTGCGCCACGTGTTTGCCACTGGAGCCCCCATGAGTTGGCATGCGTACAGATGCACTGCGCTCGTTCGGTGTGTCCTCGGCCCCTCCACTGTACTGCTCGCGAATTGAGGCAAACAGCTCGCCAGGGGCTGCATCAATGGAACACAGCAGGCGCTTCTGCCTATCCTTGCATACGCTATTCAAAGCCATCACGTTAAATCTGTTTTGGGTTTAGGCATACATCCCAATCAAAACACGTGCACGTAAAAACAAATAGTCAAAACCATGAAACATTGGGCTTTCCTAGGTAGCAGAGTGTATGGAGTGGCCATGTTTGAGTTGGGGCCTCATGAAGCAAGTCAGTACTAAATTGGGTACTGCCCCCCCCCAGTAACAGTCTATATTAAGGGTCCTATTGAGGGCTATATATAAAGATATTATAGTTATTATCCAACTGTTACTGAGGGGGGGCAGTACCCAAGTAATAAACGACAGCAACCGAGAATCATACATGACGTCCACCAGAGAAGCAAATCGCCTCGCGGAGTTCTCGTCCGTGGATGCGAAGCGGGGCACTCCCCTTACCACAATGGTGTCGAAGGCCTCACACAAGGCGATGTAGTCCTGGGTTGCTGTTAAGGCACTTAATTCTAGCTACCATATTCTGGATATAGTAAATCATGGGGTGTCCTTCTTATCGTGATTTGAATAAAAAGTTCCTTCACAAGATCCCAGAGTCATGAGTGCCCACGGCTGCAACACACAGCTCCTCAAAGGAGAAGTCTGCAGCAGACCCATCCATCCCCCTCCACACGCGGCTGCACTGCAGCGTTCGCCCCATTGGAACCGGAATGCTCTCCTAGGTTCCCCACTAGCCCCTTAATACTGAGGGTGACCTTTTTCCTAATGTTCAGCTTTAATAAGGAGACCCCAAAATAAACAGCGAAAATTGTTACTACTTGGGTACTTAGTTTCAGGCATTGGCCCAGCACCACTGCCCACAATGGCCTCCAATCTTTCTGAGAGCTGGTCATCACCTGGGCCATTCTTGGCGTTTAGGGTTAAGGGCGTAGGGTTTAGGATGTAGTGCATAGGGTTTAGGGGTTTAGGGTTTAAGGCCTAGGGCTTAGTGTTGAGGGTTTAGGGCTCAGGGCTTATAGGGCTTAAGGAATAGGGTTTAGGGCCCAGGGCCTGAGAACACGTGCAACTTGGATAATGCCTCTAGTTCTGTATGAGTATGAGAAAACAAGGTGAGGGAACAGGACTCGGTATTGTCAATTCCGGAGGTTGAGACCGTATTTGGACGCATTTCAAGCAATCCCTACACCCCAGACCCCCATTCGCAAACCCTAATTACCAACCCTAAGCAATTACATGTGTTCGGATTCTCCCTTTCATAGATAATATGGGCATATGGAGATCTTATTCTGGCTTTAGGCAATTCCATATTCTATCTTTTTGGGGGGGACTATAAGCCCCAAACCCCTAGACCCATGTAAGTTTCAGCTGCTACGGAAACAACCTACGTAAGTGACTCTGAGCACCTTGAACCGAGAAGATTATTACTTCACGTTTCAAAGCTTTCCCTAAACAACCATAAAGCCCAAACGACCCAAACCCTCTACATCAGGTAAACTACGCCCTGCACCTTAAACCCTCACTCTTTCCGATGACCAAGTCACTGTCAGGCCCCAAAGGCCAGAAGAAGGCACGGTCTCCATCAGCAGCTGCCAGCTGCGCAGACTTCGTGGCGCGGAAATCCTTCACCAATAAAATTGTGAAGTTAAGGATTTAAGGTTTGGGAGTCTGAGCATAGAGCCTGGGTCTAAGGCTAAAGGTTAAAGGCTCAAGACTTTTGGGCTTCTGGTTTGGAGCATGGAATCAGAACTTCGTGTAGAGTCTAGAGCTGTTGTCTTCTGGGTTTATAGTTTGGGGGCTTGTGTGTAGGGTTGGCGTAGAACGACTATTAGGGTTCAGGGTTCGAGACTAAGAGTTGAGGTTCACGGATGGATCCTCTCCCACCACCAGCCGAACTGGATCGCAGTGATCAAGTATGGAGTCAATGAACGGCTGGAAGACCTGTAGCAACTCAGATTCCGGGTTCAGGGCTTTGGGGTGTAGGGTTTGAGGCTTTAGGGCTTTAGGGTTTAGGGTTTACGGCTTTAGTGTTTAGAGTTTAGGGTTTACGGCTTGAGCGTTTAGGGTTTAGGGTTTCGGGGCTTGCGGTTCAGGAGCTTCGGCATGTACAGTACTATCAGGGGATTTTGGTGACCCCAGCCTCCCCCCAAAACAGGACCCCATTATTATTGTACCCATATACCATAACAACACGGCCCTAATTTGGGGCCCTAGACCCTAAACCCTAAACCCTAAATAGTAGTTTCCATTTTATTTTCCACTATCCCAATACATTGGCCCGCAGTACAACCCTACCATTGGAGCATTTCGACTTGGGGGATTCCCCAAATTTTGGCAAAGGGCCGGCAGGAAGCCTGGACACGCAAGAGGACTCCGACGGGCTTATCAGGGTCCGTACTTAGGTGGTTTAGGGTTTTGGGTTTAAGGCTTAGGGTTGAGGGTTAAGGATTCAAGGTTCAGGGTCCGCACTTATGGGAAATACATGGGGTAAGATAGGGACAATGGAAAAGAAAATGGAAACTACCATAGTGTATTGGGGTTATATATATATATATAGAGGGATTATATAGGGCTTATGTTAGGGTTATATAGGGTTTAGAGTTCAGGGTTTAGGGCTTAGGGATGGTCTGTACTTGGAGGATCAGGGGACTTAGTAAGTAGGCGAATAGTGGGGATAACTGTGGTTGCTAAATGGATTCTAGGGGTTGTAAGTATACTTACTAAGCCCCTCTGAGATTCCAAGTAAACCCCAAACCCAAAATCGGTGCAAAGCTACAATCCCAGTTCCAATGTCATTTTCCATTTTTTTCATCTGATACTCCATTTTTTGACCCTATTTTCTAACCCCTAAGCCCAAAACCCTAAGCCTTCTATTTTGAGGAAATTCCTTTCCATGGCAGTTTGGGTTCAGGTTTTAGGGTTTAGGGTTACGGTACGTAGAGGGTTTAGGGTGTAGAGTTTAATATAAGCATCACATTGTTCAGTGTCAGGATTTGGCCTCTTCTTTGTGAAAAGGATTTCAATAAGGGAAGTCAGAATTGAAAGCATCTAGATTTTTCAATAACAAGGGATCTACATCAGGAGCCTTTCCCTGAATGTTAAGGCCATTTGGTGGTGGGCAGGGATTGCGCAAGGATTATGGGGCCCTCTGTTGGGTGTAACCCTGAGATACGCAGATTTTTCCAAACGAACTTAAATCGTAAATCTCATACCCTAAACCCTAAATCCCAAACCCTAAACCTTCCCTCAGCCCTAAACCCTTAATCCGTAAACCCTAAATCCTAAACCCTAAATCCCAAACCCTAAATCCCAAATCCAAACCTTAAACCCTAAACCCTGTTTCAAGACATTCCCTTGCACCTCCCTGTTGATGCCCGAGGAATAAAGCTCTTCAGGGGCCAGGTTGGAAGTGGCCACGACTGTGCCTCCGGCCTGTTGAAGCTCGGTCGCCCCTTTTTTAAAGGCTTCATTAGGGCTTAGGGTTCAGGATTTAGGGTTAAGGGATTAGGGTTTGAGGTTTAGGGTTTAGGGTTTGGGGGTCAGGTGGGATTTGAGGCTTAAGTGCTTACTTGGACCCTCCAATGTAATTGCTTTTCGGGTTGGGCATGGTTTTTTGTTTAGGACTCTTCTTAGGGCAACTTAATAGGTACTACATTGGAGGGTCTAGGTAGAATTCAGGGTTGAGGGTTAGGGGAGTAAGGTTTGGTGTTTTTGGTTTCGGAATTCTATAAGGGACGCTCGTTCCCCCGACCCCTCTAATTAGGACCTTATAACTTTCATATGAGGATAGTAAGCTCCTTATTTTACGGCTGGGGTAACAAAAATCAACCCTAAACCCTAAACTAATTCCTCTGGGACTAAACCCTAAACCCTTCTAGACCTGACAAAATCAAGGCGGTCCCTCTACAACGTAAGCCACACATCACACAGCGCAGCATCTCAAAAGATATCGCCACTGGGACCCTCACGACTTAAAAAGGGGGTTCACATCAAACAACAAATCATGCTAACTTGAGACACTCCCAAATACGGCCGAGGCAAACAACACGAATTCCAACCATGACTACGTACCTAAAATCTCACACATGTTTAAGGTACAGGGGTTACCCTATGATACCACTAGTCCTACAAGCCTGGGAAAACACTCAATCCTACAACTCCACACATTCAACTTTACAACCCCACTAGACCCCGCAAGTCTAAAACCCTGAATAACAAGGGGATTTCAGTTCCCCCGACCTCTACACAAAGGACCCTAGAACTATCATATGACTTTCATTCTGCAGAATTCTACTCTTACGGGCTGGGGTAAATCAAGCCCGCGTAGTACTGAAGCCTACAACCGCCCTAAGCCCTAAACCCATTCAACCCCAAGACCCTACAACCCTAAAGCCCTACTGTTGATACTAAAAATCCTGCATGGCCTCAGTATACTATAGTACCGTTATTGCCAAGGTTTAGGGTATTTAGGGTCATGCAGGAATTTTAGTATCCACCGTACTACCCTATAACCCTGAACCCTACAAC